TCGGTATATCCAAGTTCAAATTCCCTTAATTCTTGTTGAGATCTAATTAATATAGAAATACCTTCAACTTGTGCATTAAGACTTTCAATTCCGTGTTTCAACAAATTTTTTTGATTAATTTTTGCGGGTGGAATGTCCATCCAAATTTTTATAGTTTGTAAATGGACTGCAAATCTAGAAAGTGTATGAAATAATTGTGCGTGGCATGGTGTTGTGCAGATCAAACTAGATAGTTGTGATAAACGATGATTGGTATTTGGAAAGAGTGTATGTAACCATAAATGAGGTTCTATTGCGCACGATCTTTGATTAGTAACATACAAACTCTTAATAATTACGGAACGATTCATTAAAAGTTTTCCAAGAATATCTGTGTTGAGCAAATATGCGGTAATGGTGTCACATCCATTTATTGAGGCGGAGGCCATGATCTTTTTACACCCCACACGTTGGGGTTTTACTACGGTTTGTCCAAAAACGCTCATGTTGAAAGAATGTTTGGTATGAGAGAAGGTTGGTTGATGTATGAATTTACCTTGTCCTGTTTGCAAATATCCCAATACTGCTTCTGAAAATTCACTAATATCTAAGCATTTTAAGAATTGAATGTAATTAAAAATAGGTAATTTATGAGGTTGACGGTTACATGTTTCTTGATCTTGAAGGCATGACATATATATTTTAAGAAGACTTGCTGCTCTTTCTGTCCATGGTAAACAAGTTTTTTTATCTCTAAATGCATGTAAAAGCCGAAATGGTTGACTCCATAATATTACCACTGCGCTTTCACACCACTGAGTGTTAACTAGAGTGCATGAATGCAGAGTTTTAACATCTTCATAAAAATATATTAAAATTTTTTCAAGACAATCTGTTGGTAAATAGTTGGCCATTTTTTATGAGGTGGAAAGGACAAAAAATGATAATAAGTTTACCGACTGCATGTTTATATACTGATCTGAAGTTAGTGTAGTACAAGTTTTTGCGATAACCATACCGATACCGATACCTGCGCTTGTGCGCTCATTACATAATTCATAATTCGGGTAATTTAGATTGAGCGGGTAATTAAGTGTTACACGACAATCTTTGACATCATCTATTTCATTGATTAGAATAATCACGTGATTATGCAAATGTAATTTCTTTTTTACCGTATGCTAATAGGTTTCTGTTATTTACCTAGTCCATTCTATGTCGAAATGTTCGGAGAAATACGGTTACATACGTAATCGCAATAATAGTCGAAATATGGAAAGGTGTATGTATTAGTTTCTAATTCTAGACATATGTGAAAAAAGAAACTTTCCGGAAGTCTTCCGTACAAAGAAAGAAATCATTATAGATCTTTTTTAGTGTTTTGGGGTTTTTTTTTATCTCGTACTCTTTATGCACAAAGAATCGTGATAAACAATTGATATTTTAGGAAAGTTCTTAATTTTTTTTCATGGGAATCAAAGTGCATGCTATCTATACGTGATTATC